TGCGCAATGGCATGCTGGCCCCAGGCAGCAAGCGGCGCAGAGGTCGGCCACTCCGCCTTGTCGAACTCGAACGCGCGCACCAAGCGGACGTGGCGCTCGAAGCGGGAGTACCTGCCCCAACCGTCGTCCAGCTGGTGTCCTCGAAGGGCGGCCTCCTTTCTGCAAGTCGCTAGCAGGCCTGCCCACTTGCGGTGCTCTGCGCTGGTCGTCTCCTTTCAGCGTGTCCTCCCACCGCTGGACCAGAGGAACTGTCTCCACCTGCGGGCCTCTGTCTCTGGCCGCTCTGCTACGCTTGTGCCCTTCCAGCTGGTGGAGCCTTGTCAGGGTTGTCCTCTGCCAGGGCGTGCCAGAACTTGGGGGCTTCCTCCGCGTCGGTAGGTCTAGCCCCCAAGCACCGCGGCCATTCGTCATCGGCGAGCTCAGGCGGCGCTGCCTGCGCAGGAGGTGCAAGGGTCATCGGGTACCTACTGGGGTAGACCGCCTTGGTTACCGTGGTCCTCTGATGTAGGCCCTTCAGCTCGATGGCGGTCGGCGTGCGCGGCGAGATCGGGGCGTCGCCCAGCACCTTGACCTCGCCAACACGACTAGCCAGAGCCTCATACACTATGGCGTAGTCGTACTCGCGCTTGCCGCAAGTTGGACTCCAGGGACGCGCGAACACTCCTGAGGCCTGCTTGGCCCAGCTGGCCAAGTCGTGTCGGGCTCGATGTTCCAGTCCGCCTGGATGGCCCAAGGCCACTCGAGGCCTCCAAGCCAGGACTGCAGGGCCTCAAGCAGCGCAATGTTGTCGCCTGTGACCCCGATGCTGTCCACCATGTAGGCCGAGACAAAGAAGATCGGGAAGTCCGGGCCCGCGTTGAGCTTCGCGGCTCGCGCCCAATGGGGGCCCAGCACGCTGCGCTCCTTTGGCTTATCCACGCTGGCCGCCGCCATCGCCGTGAAGACTGCCCCGCCTCCAGGGCTGTCCAGGGGCCCTAGGCCCGTGTCCTGAGCCAGACCTCCGAAGGACTCGAAGCCAGCGCGCGGGGCCCAGGTCGCCGCCGACTTCAGCTTGGCGCCATGCGTGATGCGGTGCTCCTGCAAGCCGGGTAGTCGAACGTCAGCTTCTTGTCCCTGCTCCACTCCAAGAAGGCCTGACCACTGGCCCACGAGTGGGTATTCGCCGAAACTAACGTGAGCTTGCCGGGCTCCTTGTCAGCCGCGATGCGCTGCTGACCGCCTTCACAAGGGGAATGGAGAACACCTGCACCTCGAGCTGCGCTTGCACTCGACACGCCAACGAGAGGTCGCCGAGCGCGAGTCTCCAGCCCACCCCGGCGAGACCCAGCTCCGCCGCAAACCTGGGACCTCAGCTTCCCCGCGACCTCCTCCGAAGCGGACGCGGTCCTGCTGGGCCTGCCTCTCGTACTCGACTCCTCCGCAGGCGGCCTCGCACCATCTCCGGCAGCTTCGCGACCCGCAGCAGCACCTTGAGCACTAGGTCTGCCTTCGCGTGGCGACTTCTGCCACCCTTTCGCCGATCCCCGCTCGCAGGGTCTCTCACGTGGGTCCAGGGGCTCGAGTGAACCCGAGCCCCGCGTGGGTTTCGTCTGCGAACGGGTCTCCAGCTTCTCGGGGACAGTGAGTGCGCCGCCCGACGCGGAGGCCGAAGGACATGACCCCACCTGCGGTCTCCATGTGCCATTGCCCTCTTCGCTGGCTCTCCTGGCCTGAGGGGTGGCAAACTTGAGTGCTCCACGTCTCTCCATGTCGGAGGAGAAGCACCTGTCTGGGCGGCTTGCAGGGATGTGGTACCCCAGCTCAGGCCACTCCAAGTCGCGCGCGTTGGACCCCCAAAACTGTCCGAGGTCAGCCATGCCTACGAAATTCACCTTGACGCAGGCCTTCCTGTCCATGGTCAAACACGCTGCCGTTTTGCTGCCAGTGCCTGTGCGTCCAGGAGCTCGGGGGCCACCCGCTTGAGCTTGTCGACGTCCCCAGGCTTGTCCAGGTCGAAGGCTGGACGGGAGCCCCCCCGGCTTCTCCACCACAGCGGCCACCTGGTCGGCGAGGTCCTGGCCCACCTCGAAGTCAGGCACCTCCACGCCCATGCCTCCGTTGGCTGCGCCACCGCCTGCAGGGGCCCCAGGGCCGTCGGCAGCAGGAGCACCACCAGTGCTGGGGGCTTCCTTGGCTGCAGCTGCAGCCCGCTCTGCGACCGGGAGCTTCTCCTTGGTCTTGGCGGCGACGGCACGGACGTGCGCGAGGCTCGTCTTGCCATCCTGCATGTCCTCGTGCTGGGCGAGGGCGTCGAGAAGCCGCGCCAGCTGGTCAAGGAGAGCGACCGTGTCTCCCTTTGTGCTCATGGCAGACTCTGCACACTTGGTCTGCTCGATCGCCTCCTGCTCTGCCAGCTTGGTCTCGTGCTCGCGGAGCTGGCGCAGCTCCGCGTCGTAGGCCTCTTGCGCAGCCGCCAGCCTCTGGGCCCGCTGTGCCGCGCGTACCTTGGCCTTCTCCTTGCTCTTGTCCGACTTCCTCTGGGGCACTTGGGCCAGCGGCCTCGATGCGATGTCGACCACCTCCTGCTTGGGTGGAGCTGGTGAAACCACGGAGAGCTGGCCCTCGGTGAGGCCGTCCTTGCCAGCCGCCACCAGCGCCTTGTTGGTGGCTTCCAGCAGCTTGGCGACGCTGAGGTCGACGACGGCCTTCGCTTCCCCGCCGGTGCCTCCAGTTCCCTTGTAGCCGAAGTGGGACTGCCAGTCCTTGGCGTTGCCCACTGGGCACCGCGGGCACGACCCTTCGGCTTGGCCTTGGCCGTACCTTGGGGCTTGACGGCCCCCGCGGCGCCTCCTCCTCCATCGCGCCACGGCGCTGTGCCGAGGCTGAGGGGCCGGCACGTTATGAGGGTGACCAGAGTGCTGGGCGGCGCCTTAGCCCAACACGCTCTGCTCTCCGCCTTGCTGATATAGTTCGGGCATCCACCACACTTGCCCGTGCATTCCCACTGTGCTGTCGTTGAGGCTCGGACCCCAGGCGCATCGCGACGCGATGCCATTGGCCAGCCGAACTCGTCTTTGCGCCAGGTGGCTCGCAAGCATAAGCCGCTCGGAAATGCGTGCTTGCAAGCTCAGGGCCGAATGCCTGAGCCAGAACGGCTAAGGAGTTGGTGGAGGAGGAAGAGGAGGAGGAGGAGGAGGAGGAGGACGAAACCGATGCAGGGGGTGGCGGAGGAAGAGAAGGGGGGGGAGAGGTGGAAAGCGGGAGGACCAGGCTGCGCGGTATGCAGGCGAGGGGGAGGAGGAGCAGGAGGAGGAGGAGAAGGAGGAAGAGGAGGAGGACGAGGACGAAGAGGGGCGCACGCCCCGGCTGGAGGCGGAGTGTGGCGGTGGGAAGGGGGGAAGGGGGAAACTGTATAAGTAGGTTACAGAGGAGGGGGGCCGGGCAGGGAAAAGGGACAGGTGCCCCCCTGTTTTCGTCCCCTCTCCTGTCTCTCCCTCCTCCCTTGCCCCCACCCCGTACTCACATCCCTCCTGCCTTTTCTCCCTTCCTCCCGTTTCCGTTTTCCTTCCCGTTCCCCCTTTTTTTTCTATTCCCTCCCCCGTCATATATATATATATGTATATATATATATATATATATATATATATATATATATATGTAATCGCTCTTCTCTTCCCGCCCTCTCACTTCCCCTTTCTCTATCTCTCTCACTCGTTTTCCAAACTTGCTCAATCTTAATACTTCTCTCCTCTGTCCCATAGTGTTGTCTTTGTATTCATCCGACCATTCCGCAGGGTACATTTGACGCACAGCGTTGCCCAACTGTAGTTCTGGTTCTGTGCCTCTCAGATGTTGTGCTCAGGCTGCAGCGCTGGCCACATTCAGAATCTCAGCCCATTGTAACGACGCTATCGCCGTTCCGCTGGCTCTTCTCCTGCATCAGCCGAAGTGGTGTTCCCTCTGAAGCGTTAGCCGCCCCTTCACGGGCCATCAGGAGCCATCTTGGCCATCTTGGTCATCATTCGAGGAAGACAAACAACACATACACATACACTGCCGAAGGCTCCCGCGGATTGCTTGGATCGGAGCTGGATCTTCTCGTCCCTGGCGCGAGGAGCGCGCCAGGGGGCGGCGCCAGAGGAGCAGGCAGGGGCTTCGAGCCAAGATCTAAGACATCCGCGGGAATATCCGAAAGTTCTTGTCTCTGCAACTTCTTGTTATCTGAGTATTGGCCATCTTGTACGGGGAAGATCGCCGCCGCACCCCGTGGGGCGATCCCTGGCAGCTGTGATTTTGCTCCTGACGTTCCAGGCGATGGCGTAGTTTTTTCAAAACGGGAACCCCGGAGGTGTCAAGCCCTTTCCCTGTGGGGGCTGAATCGACGGGGGTCAAAGCAAACGGGGGTCAGCCAGAGCGCTGGATCTTGCAGGCTCCTTTGGGTGCAGGATCTTGCAGGATCCTGCAAGGCCGGCCTGACCCGGGTTCGCATTGATCGGGAGCCTTGAGACGGGGGTCAGTGCAAACGGGGGTCAACCACGGCACCGGATCCTGCAGGATCCTGCGAAGACCCCCTTTGGCTGACCCGGGTTAGCGAGCCGCTCGTGGCCGCGAAGCGGCCGCACATGTTGGCTGACCCGGGTTTGCGAAGACCTGCGCTGCAGTTTTTTTTCCCTGCACTGCAGTTTTTGTTTTTTCCTGCTGACCCGGGTCTGGAGTCTGGACTGACCCGGGTCAGAAGATCCCCGAATTGACCTGGGTCAGCGCGTCCCCGACCCTGGACTAGGCTTGCGTCCTGAGCAGTCTAGGCCACGCTCCCTGGGCCCGTGGAGGGGGCCCCCTCTCGGAGGCCGCAGCTGGTCGGACACCTCTCGTCTCGCGTGCTTCTCAGCACGGCGCGAGGAGGAGGAGGAGGAGGAGGAGGAGGAGGAGGAGGGGGAGGAGGAGGGGGAGGAGGAGGAGGAGGATGAGGAGGAGGAGGAGGAGGAAGAGGAGGAGGGGTGCGTCCTTGGGTCGCACCCCGCAGGGCGCGCCCGGACAGCTCTACTTTCTCCTGGCATTCCCGGCCATGGCGCTACTGGAGCTCCACCACACCACGGGCTCGGAGGGCTACCGGGAGGCCGCCCTGCGCGTGCTCGACTTCCTCAGGGGCTGCGCTGGGGTCCTTGCGGGGGACGAAGTTGGAGGGAGGGGAGGAGAAGGAGAGGAAGGAGGCTCGACGAGGAGGAGGAGGAGGAGGAGGAGCCCAGATGTCCGACGATTCTTTTTTTAGGCGGCGCTTTCTCTTAGATTTCGGCCCTCGGGGCCGTTTTCCTGGCCCGGGGCCATCAACACCTGATCGGGGACGAAGAACTTGCCACGGGGAAGAGTCGGGGGCGAAACAGAGGGGGGTGATGACTAAGGGGGGGTGGATATCATGGCGGGGGCCATGATATTTCCCCAGATCTCGTGGCGCCTTTTCTTATTTCATTACGTCCCTGCCCCCCCCCCGCTGGGCTGCGCACATGCCGCCGATCATGATTTGCCCACCCCCCCCCCCCCTCTTGGACACCCCCCGCTTGGCCGCTCCCGAAAAGAAAAGAGGAGGGGGCTTCTGGGCCCCCGGACTAAACAAAATCATGTCGGCGGCTGTGAGAGAGGGGGGTGGATGATCGGAGGAGTAAAGGGTACCGATGACCCTACCCTTGCCTCGTGTTCGCCTGCTGGGGCCTCCTGAGAGGCCCTCGTCGCAACGGGGGAGGTCCCGGGTGTAGCGGTATCGGTATTCCCTCCCTTGACTCGGATGCAACTCCTGGGAGGTCAAATTCTGATGTAGCCCTGGTCCGAAATCCGGCTTAATCCGGCTTAATCCCGCTTGATCTGGCTTAATCCCGCTTAATCCCGCTTAATCCCGCTTAATCCGGCTTAATCCTGCTTAGTCCGAGGCCCATTCTGGCGTAACAGCTTTCAAATGGGGCTTAATCCTCCTTATTTTTTCCGACGAAAACCTCCCAGTAGTTGCCTCCTAACCTTGAGGAAGAGAGGGGTGACCTTCATCGGAGGTTGTGGGGTGAGATCGCAGCGGAACGGGGATCCCCCCACCAAGGAACTCGGTCTCGGTGTCGTGCTCGTGTCGTGCGTGCGGCCGAGGCGCGAAGTTCCGCTCTCGGTGGGCGCGCGGTGGCCAGGGGTGTCCCGCCGTGGTGTCCTGTGGTGCTCCGTTGGTGTGTCGTCGGTGTGCCGTCGGCTCGGGCCGCCTGAGGCCCCGCCCGCCCGCGCCCTGTCTCCCCAATTAGGGCTTTGCGCGGCCCGCCTAGCTCTTCACCGGAAGAGGCTCGCTCTCGACCCGCAGACCAAAAAAAAGGTGTGCCGTCAGCGGTGGGAGGGCGGTGGCCGGGGGTGTCCCACCTTGGTAAGGATAGTGAAGTCGATAGTGAGATCTATAATGAGCTCGCTAGAATGGGATGGATAGGGAGATCAAAAGTGAGACCGACAGTGAGGTTGATTGTGACGTTGGTTGTAATATCAATAGTGAGATGGAGAGAGGAATCGATAGTGAGATCGCTATTAGGATCGATAATGGGATCGATCGCTGAATCCATTCGTACTAAGACTGGCCGCGAGGTTGATAGTGGGTGGGATCGATCGATCAAGATCGACAGCGGGGACGATAGTGGCATTACATCGCAGCACAACATCGTCATCACGCGTCGTCGCTAACTCAAGGGCGCATCACCAGCATCGTCATCATCACACCGATCGCATTTGCCATCAGTTTGTTTTTTCCCCCCACCATCCAAGCTCCTTATCACCCGAAGGGTAGGCTAAGGGGGGGACACATCGACCAACACCGGCCCATTTATCGCCGATGCGGGGCCGATGCCTCACCCCGCCCAGGAGCATGCGGTTTCGCCATCGGGGACCTATCGCCGATCTACAAGCGATGTATCGCCGATTTCAGATCGATGCTCCCCCCAATGAGCCAGCCACACCCTCGTTTCCCCTCAAGGAGGAGGGGGAGGATGAGGAGGAGGACGGGCTTGAAGAGGAGATGTTGGAAGGGGAGGAATGGGAGGAGGGGCCTGGCCAAACGGCACGAGTCGGCATCCCAGGTTGCCAGTTAGGCGCTGGCAGGGTGCCGCATGATAGTTGCAGGACAGTGGCGTGCGGCGCACGTAGTGGCGGACTTCTTCCGCAGGGGGACGGCAGGATGACGAGCTATACGGGGAGGAGGACGAGGAGGAGGAGGAGGAGGACGAAGGATGAGGAGGAGACGGAGGCGGAGGAGTCGAGGGGCAGGGGGAGAATGGGGAGGATGGAGAGGAGGAGGAGGAGGAGGAGGAGGAGGAGGAGGAGGAGGAGGAGGAGGAGGAGGAGGAGGAGAGGAGTGATCGCGAAGGCCTTACGGCCGGCGCCGCCGACCCTGAACACGGCGACGACGAGGTGCCGTGGATGGTGATATTCAGTTTTCGACAGGAGAACGCGTATGCCGAGGTCGACGGATGGGAAGCAGATCGCGTCAATGGTGATCGTGCTGTTGATGGTAATGTTTATGATGATTTTGATGATGATGATGATGATGATGACGATGATGATGATGATGATGCTGATGATGATAATGATGATGATGATACTGATGATCATGATGATGCTGATGATTGTGATGATGCTGTTGATGATGCTGATGATGGTGACGATGCTGATGACGATGACGATGACGGTTGTGATGATGCGTATCCTGGTGATAATGATGTTGATACTGAAGGCGATGGTGGCGTTTGTGATGATGCAGGTGATGACGCCTTTGCTGATGCTGGTAATGACACATGATGATGATGATGCTGATGATGATGATGATGACGATGATGATGATGATGATGATGATGATGATGATGATGATGATGATGATGATGATGATGATGATCATGATGATCATGATGATGTTGATGATGATGCTGATGATGATGATGATGAGTGATGGCGATGATGTTGATGAGGATGATTCGGATGGTGCTGATGATGCTGATGATGTTGATGATGATGCTGCCTTATGCTGATGGTGGAGGAGGAGGAACATAACGAGGAGGAGGAGGAGGAGGGCGGATGATGATGGGAATGATAATGATGACGATGCTGACACTGATGATGATGCAGATGATGCTGCTGAGGATGATGATGCTGCTGCTGATGATGCTGCTGCTGATGACGACGAGGGGGAGGAGGAGGAGGAGGACGACGAGGGGGAGGAGGGAGAGGACGAGGAGGAGGAGAAGGAGGAGGAGGAAGATCGTGATCATGCTTATGATGGTGATAATGATGTTGATGCTAAAGGCGATGGCGGTGACTGTGATGATGCTAGTGATGAGGCCCTTTAAGACGCTCATGATGAATGTGATAATGCTGCTGCTGATGATGATTTCGATGCTGATACTGAATGATGACGATGATGCTGATGAGGATGATGCAGATGATGATGCTGATAATGATGCTGAATTATGATGATGATTGAGGGGGGAGAGGGAGATCATGAAGGAGGCGGAGGAGGGTGGATGAGGACATTGATGAGGATGAGGATGATGCTGCTGCTGATTATGCTGATGATGCAGATGCTGATACGGATGATGTTTCTGATGATGATGCTGAGGATTTTGATGCTGCTGCTGATGATGCTGCTGCTGATGCTGATGCTGATACGGATGATGTTTCGGATGATGATGCTGAGGGTTTTGATGTTGCTGCTGATGATGATGCTGCTGCTGATGACTAGGAGGGGGAGGAGGAGGAGGAGGAGGAGGAGGAGGAGGAGGCGGAGGAGGAGGATGGTGAGCAGGAGGAGGACGAGGAGGAGGAGGAGGAGAAGGAGGAGGAGGAGGAGAAGGAGAAGGTTGGGGAATGTGAGGAGGTGGAGGAGGAGGAGGAGGAGAAGGAGAAGGTTGGGGAAGGCGAGGGGGAGGAGGGAGGAGGAGGAGGAGGACGAGGAGGAGGAGGAGGAGGAGGAGGGATGTTGGAGCGGGAGAGCAGCAGGAACAGGACGAAGTGACGGGACTTCCCCCCGAGGTCTTCGAGAGCCCGATGGCGCACAAGGTGGCGCGAGCAGCCGCCATGGCGGGAGATGCCGAGACCGCCCGGAGGATCGCGGACTTCTTGGTGTCGCAGCAGCGGGAGACGGGCTGCTACCAGGAGGACCCCGAGGCCACTCGGCGTGCGGATTATCGGGGGCGGCCAGGAGGGGGGTGCTGATGAGAGGGGCGGGGGACATCATGGATGGGGGCCATGATGTATCCCCAGATTTCGCGGCGCCTCTCCTTATTCTAATGCGGCCTCGGCTCCTCCCCAGGGCCGCGCACATGCCGCCAGCCATGATTTGCGCCCCCCCCTCTTGGACGCCCCCCTCTTGGACGCCCCCGAGATGTGGGGCTCTCACCTTATTTCCGTTTGGGGGGGGCCTCCTGGTGGGCCCTTTCGGCCGTGGTTGGCCGCAGCTCCCCACACTGGTCAGGATAGACTCTGGAAGGCTGCGCTTGGATGTGAAGTATTTGTCTGGAGAGTCGTCGTGAAGAGCACGGGTCCTGAGGGGAAGTGGGTCCTGTTTTGTTTCGTAGTTTTCTGCTTCCCCGGGTGCAGCAATCAGCCGCGTCGTGATTTTTGGAGCCCTGGGGTCGGGTCGTCGACAGACTGCCCAGGATGCGAACTGCAGTCCTGGATGGAGCACCGGTGTCCAGGACCCGTTGCCCCCTGGCGCTCTCTCCTTTGGTTCAGGAGGGGAAGAAACACACAGACACAATTAATCGTCGATTCCCAGGAAAATATGCGAAAATATGGGAAGTGGTGGGGAACCCCAAAACCTAGAAAATATGGGAAAATATGGGGAATCTGTTTATTTGTGTGTATTTATTTGTGTGTCCCAGTTTCCCTTCATTGGTGCCCAGCGAGGCGATGGACTCCATAGACCAGACCGCCGAGATTGCCGTGTGGCTCCTCACAGTTCGGGAGGGGGGGTGGATGTGGTGGGTGGAGGGGGGGGGGGGCGGGAGGGCGGGTGTGATATCTCAGGGTATGTGGCGTGAGCATCTGTCCCGAAAGTGTCTGAGCTATCCGCGTTGATGCTGATACTCATGTAGATGTTGATGCGGATGTTGGCGAATCTGCTGATACAGACTTAGGAGCAGCTTCCTTTTGTGAAAGACGCATAGAGACAGAGAGAGAGGGTGGAGAAGGACGTTCGTCCTTCAAGAGAGAATTAGACTTTTGGCTGCGAAGTCACAGATATTACGCACTGGTGTGATACCTGAATGCTCTGGGCTATCAATGTCAGTCACTGGATCCATGATTATCGCTGTTTGGCGTCATTTGTGGCACCGAAAAAAAGTTACAACAAATGACAACGCACCAACCAAACAGTAACAACCAACATTCAAGGTTTGCGCCATCGGCGCTTCAGCGAGGCTCTCGTGCCCTCTCCGCCTCACCCCCGTACCAATCGCACCAATCACAGGCCACCATTTGTTTTTGGCTCGGGGGCGCCACATCGATGACAGTGTTGTTTTTGGTTTTGCAGGGTTTTCACATGGATCGTGGTTCCAGTGCAATTCTTTTTGTTTGTACGTGTCGGGTGGTGTCCTTGTGCTCCTCCCGTCGATTCCATCCTCTATCCTCTATCCCTTCCCTTTCCCCTTTCATCCCTGGCCCATCCTTTCCTTCCCTCCTTCCCCAGGGCGTCTCTGGATGTCTCCGCGCTCGCGCGGCGCCACAGACATGCGCTGACTTCGGACGGCCGGCAGAGGGAACACTTCACGGCGTCCAGCTTCGATTTCCTCCGCTTGGGGAAGGGCTGGATCGCGAACCTGGACATGTTCGACGGCGTCGGCACCCAGGAACAGGCCATTGCCAGACACGAAGCACTTGCAGACCAGCTGCTGCAGGTGGCCCAGACGGTTGAGAGGTGGGGCCGGCATGCTCGCCGTGGTGGTTGCGCATGGCGGCGGTTGCGCATGGCGGTTGCGCATGCTCGCCGTGGTGGTCAGCCACACATGTGTTGGGGGCGCGCTCCCAGATATCGCCAGGGCTCATCATTGCTCGCTTGTGCATGTGTGTTGGCCGGCCAGCTTTGCTAACAACCGCGCTCCAGACTGGACGGATTTCTGCGCCGCCGCGAGGGTCTGCTTGGGAGTGGAGCGCTGGCGGGCGATCGGGGGTCGCATCCGCGGCGATCGTATACGCGACATCATTTGAAAATGTGTCGCGCCTTTCCCTGGGCCCTCGACGGGGGGCTCATCCGGCGCGGTGTGCCCGCCGGCGCGAGCGGTAGTGCGCTGCTGGGGGCCGCCGGAGCACTTACGACGCATTGCTTCATTTCCCGAATTGCACGGCGCCGAGCGCGCCGCGCGTAGCCCGCCCAGCCGGCGGGCAGGGGGAATTGCGCGTGTCGCGTGGGCATGCGGGCACGGGCTTGTCGCGGAACGCCGCCCCGCGGCCAGCGATCGGCTTTCGGTGGGCCCGTCGGTGTCAGCGGGGGCGCGCCCGCAACGTTGCGCTCCGACAGAAGGCGGCCATGCCCGACGCGCGCCATCGAAGATTCCCCGGCGACGGGCGCGCGCCCAGCGGCGCGCGCGCGGACTCGGCGCGCCGAGCAGGGCAGTGCCGTCGTTGGCCTTGAGCGCGCGATTTCCGCGCAACGCGATCGGTCAGCGCCCCTCTGGGCCTGGGCGCGCGACGGATATGGCCCTTGCTTGCTGCGGCCGATGGGGCGCGCGATCGAGGATTGACCGCCGACCGAGCGCAGCGCGGGCCATCGTTGTGGCGGCTCGGATTCGACGCCCGATCGCGCGATGGGAGAGCGGGCGGCGGTCGCCGTGCAGCGCTGGGAATTGCTGAGCGAAGTACTACTCTTCAGTTGCATGCTCGGCGCCCCAGGTCATTTGGGCGCCCTTTTCCGCGGGCGCCATGATGCATCGCGAAGGACCTGCTGGGCTTAACTAGCTGTTCTTTCAGGCGCTGGAGGGGGGCCGTGTTTAAGATCGTCTTCTTATTATCATTCACGTTTCTGTCACTTGTTCTTGTTTTCGGATTTCCATGTTTCGTTCGTGGCACGGCCGGCGTGGTTTCTGCCACCTTTTGGGCTGCCGTTGTTAAAGTGTTTGTTTGGCCGACCGCAACGCGAAAAGTTGAGGGCGGAAAAAAGAAGCGCCCCCCCCCGCCCCCGCCGCCCCCGCCGCCCCCCCACCCCCCCTCGGCGTTTTTAGTAGCAACTCAGCCGCTGGGCGTGGCTCGGGGGGGCGGGATGAGTGCGGCCGACGATCGCCTCTTTGTCTCGCCTCCCGCGCATTCGCTTCCGGGTGCTCGAGATCGGGGGCGGCGGCGGGCGGCGTTCCCGCGGGCGACGGCAAATTGCGGGCGCGTCGTCGCGGGGGGGCTCCGTCGGCCGCGCGGCGCCCAGTTGCGAAGTGACGGCGGCGGGCGACGCGTGCTGGGGCGAGCGGCGCGCGGGGGCATCCTTTCGTTCAGGGGGCGCTTCCGTCGCGCGCCTGGAAAGCTAGCGGCGGCTCGGCGGCGCCGCCCGCGACGGCGGCCGCGCCCCGCGGGGGGGGGGCGCTTCAGCAGCGGGCCGCGCCCAGGGCTGCCCGGGGGGAGGGCGGCGGCCGCGTTGCGCGGCGCGCGCCGAGAGGGCCGCCGTCTTCGGTGGCCGCGGCGGGCGCGCGCCTGTCCGGCGCCCGCGACGTCGCCGCGGCGGCCCTTCGACCATTGGGGGCCACTGCGGAAATGTGGCCGCGCAGACTGGGCGCCGCGCCCAAACGGTCGCCCCCGCTCGCGACCCCAACTGGTCCGCCGAGGGCTCGCGCCCGAGGTCGCGCGACCGTGGCCCGCTCGCCTTGGCCGTGCGCGGTCCTGGGCCTCGAGCGCGCTCGTGCGCAGCCGCGGGCGCGCGTCCGCGAAGGCGCTGGCTGGCTGGGCGCGGCTTAATCCGGCCCTCGCCGACTCGCCTCGGGAGCGTCGCGAGGTCCTGCGTTTCGCGCCCGGCGACTTCGCGGCCGGCCCGCCGCGCGCTGTCTTCGGCCGTCCAGCGGCAAAGCCCATCGCAATCCCAGCTTGACGTTGGCGCCCTCGGCGATCTGAGCGGCGCGCATCTTGCGCGCCCCGCGCTCGGCGGGGGGGGGGGGGGGGAGCGGCCGCGCATCGAGGCTTTTTTGGCGGCGGGGGTGTCGACCGCCGTTGAGAGACAATCAGTCTGTCATGAGCCCTGGGCCCCTCTGCGGGGTCAGCGGGGCGCCGCGAGCGACGTATTGCGCGGAATCAGCAGCGCGCTGCGCCGCGAACAGCGAACGCGCGGGCTGCGCGCGACATCGGCGACGCGGCCCAGAGTTTCATTGTTAACATTCAGCGCGCGAGGAAGGGCGCGATTCGCCGTGCGAGTCGGGGCGGGCCGGGCTCTATTTTGTTGTTGTTGCAGGCGCATGTAGTAATGCGGGAATTTTCTCGCGAGTTCCAAGCGCGCGCTGGCCCGCGCGACCGGGCGTGTTCTCGCCGCGAATTGCGTCGGGGAGGAGACGCCTTCGCCCGTGGAAACATCGCGCGCCGCGTGCTTTAAGTATCGCCCCAGGGGCGCGGAGAAAGCGCGCGGCGGGTCACTCGGCGGGCGGGGGTTCGAGGCGGCCGCGCTTGCTCAATGCCCGATATTCGCGAGAAAGCTCGCGGGTCGGTGCTGTCGTGGGATTGCCCAGTTGTCTGCTCGTCTGGATGCGGCGTGAGCCGCCTTCTAAGTCCCAGTCTAAAGCCAATCGGTGGGGGCGCAGGGCGGGGGCGGCGCGCGTTGGGCGCAGGGGCGGGCGATGGGGGCGCGGCGAGGCTGGGTAGGTTGAGCGGGGGGGCTCTGCAGGCGGGCGCGCGCGGCGCTGGCGCGGCGGCTGCGCGCGCGCGGGCAAGTTCGCGCCGAAGGCCCTGGCGGGCCGCGGGTGCCCCCGGCGGCGACGTGACTCGAGACGGAGCGGTTCGCGCGGGGCTAGACGTCACGCCGACATCGACGTGCTGGCGCTCGGTCGTTCGCCAAGGGACGCTGGTGCGCGGGTCATGCGCGGCCGTGCCGACGGCCCAGTGTAAGTTGCCATTCATTTCGTCGCGCGGGAATGGTCTTCCTCGGTCGGGTGTCGAGAACAAACAGGGCTGATGCCGCCCTCGCAGCTGCCCGCTGCAGTTTGCATCGCCCGGCCCCCGTGGGTCCCCACGTGTCCAATTCGCATGCCAATCCCGGTTGGCATCGGCTCCTGGCCCAACGAAATCTGGCTTCAGACGAACAGGGATTATGCAGAACAGATTCGTGGTCCCATGGCCACGCTGGTCGTCTACCCCTGAGGCACTCCAAAGGGTGCCAAGCTGTGTTGTTTTCCATTTTCTTGCCCCCCCGCTTTCCCAGCCGTAGGATTCGCAACTTTCGGACGGGCGGCTTTCGACTCAGTTCTTCTTCCTGGACCTTCCCCGATCTGTTTTCCCTGGAGCAATGCCCACTCGTGCCCCGCGGATGCAGCCGAGACTGGCACGTTTTTGCTTTCGCTGTTTCGTGCCAGCTTATCATGTGTTTCCTTTTTGCCCCCGCGTAAGATGGATGGTTGGTCCATGTTCGTTTGGTGGTACTTCGTGACGACTGCTGTGTGTCCAATGGTTCGAATATGTTGTAGTGAAGGTTTTGCATATTCGTGTGGGCTATTGTCGGTATTGTGCAACATGTCAATACTTAGTTTTAGGAGTTGTTCCGCCCCCCACGTGGCCCATGTTCAATGCGAGCGAACGCAAATACGTGAAGTTTTGGTGATCGTCCGACATTTTGTAACGCAGCGCTACTTCAACACATTATAATGCGACACATGAATCTGGCGTTGCAGGTTGGGGCGTGTGTGTATCGCTGTGTCTACACGTGTTTGCTTGCAGCTCTTTTCCTCCAGTTTCACCACCGCTGGTTTTTCCTTACCACCCTCTTTCCCCAATTTCCCTCCCCCGGCTGTTCCTCGTCCTACTTGCTTTCCTTCCCCGTTATCCTCTTCCTCCTCCGCCTCTTCGTTGTCTTGCCCTCTCCTACTCCCTCTTCCGTCCATCCTTGGTCTCTTGTTGGCAAATTGTGGCGAGCTGGAAGAGGAAGAGAAAAGGAAGAGGAGGATGCGCATTGTGAGGAGGAGGAGGAAGAAGAGGAGGAGGTGGAGGAGGAAGAGGGGGAGGAGGAGGAGGAGGAAAAGGAGCAGGAGGAGGAGGAGGAACAGGAGGAGGAGGACCATAATCATGCCAAAACATTCTTCTCGGGAGTTCCACGCCACGGATCAACCTGACTATTGCGTCTTGATGCTCCGGAATCGTGTCAAGACGCAATTCTTGGGACTTCGACACAACGAACCAGCATAATTGTTGCACCCTCATAGTCCCGAATCTTTTCAAAACATAACTTTTGGCACGTTGACGATGGAGAATCTGTGACACTCTTGCGATTTTTGTGCGCGGATGTGCGCGGCGCTAATGCGAGAGTCACATGTTCAAAAAGAATCGCACTCATTCTGTGAATTTCTAGCACCAGCAAGTGTTTGAAACGAATTGGCGCCGCGTTGCGGCGAGAGCCACATTTTGAAAACGACCCGCCCTAAATCCGTGAAGCTGTTGCAAATGTCTAAAAATAATGGGCACCGTTTGCGGCGAGAGCCACATTTTGAAGACTACCCGCCTTCAATCCGTGAACTTCTTCTACATTTTTTAAGCGAGTATGCGCTGCGCTCAGGGCTAAGGCGATGGCTACATTTTGGAAACGGCCTTTCCTCAATCCGTGAAACTCTTGCAAATATTTACAGCGAGTGTGCGCCGCGCTACGGCGAGAGCCACATTTTGAAAACGGCCCGCCCTCCATTTCCGAAACTATTGCCAATTTTTAGTTGCAGAATCATACATGGTGAGGGAGTCTGCGGCGAAACGCCCGGCCCGCCCTAAAAAAAGCTTTCGGGGTGCGACAGGGAGAAGGTATTTCGAAGGATAAGTGATGGAGAATGTTGAGGAAGAGGAAGAGGAGGAGGAGGAGGAGGAGGAGGACGACGAGGAGGAGGAGGAGGAGGAGCAGGAAAGGGAGGAGGGGGAGGAGGAGTAGGAGGAGTGGGATGAAAATAGGGGGGAAAATAATTGAGGAGGAAGGCGACGATGATGATGATGATGATGATGATGATGATGATTATGATGATGATGCTGATGATGATGATGCTGACGATGATGATGATGATCATGACGATCATGATGATGGCGATGATGATGGCGATTCTGGTGATTATGATGATGATGCTGGCACCGATGAGGATGATTATGCTGATGGTGATGATGATGATGAAGAGGATGATGAGGCTGTTAATTATGATGAGGACGATGATGAAGATGAGGATGAGAATGTGTATGACGATGCTGCTGATGATGATGCTCATTGTGATGATGATGCTTATGATGATTATGATGATGCTGATGCTGAGTATGATGCTGATGCTGATGCTGATGAGTATGAGTATGATGATGATGATGATGCTGATGATGATGATGATGGTGCTGCTGATGATGATGATGATGATGATGATGATGATGATGATGAGAAAGACGATGAGGAGGATGAATGAAGGCAGACATGACAGGGGGACATCAGATGTGGAGGTTGATGATACTGATGATGACGATGCTGATGTTGATGACGATGATGCTGCTGATGATGATGATGCTGATGATGATGATGAGGATGCTGATGATGATGATGATGCTGGTGATGATGATTATGATGATGCTGATGCTGACGATGCTGATGATGATGATGATGCTGCTGCTGATGATGATGCTGATGATGATGCTGCTGATGATGATAATGATGATGCTGCTGCTGATAATGATGATGCTGATCATGATGATGATGGTGGTGATGACGATGGTGATGATGATGCTGATGATGCTGATGATGATGATGATGCTGATGCTGATGATGATGATGCTGATGATGATGATGATGATGATGATGATGATGATGATGATGATGATGATGGTGGTGTGGTGGGTGGTGGTGGCGGTGGCGGTGGTGGTGGTGGTGATGGCGATGGTGATGGTGATGAGGAGGAGGAGGATGAAGGGAGGCAGAACCGACGGAGGGGAATCTGATGCAGAGGTGGAGGAGGAGGAGGAGGAGGAGGAGCAGGAAGTGTTGGACAATAGCGAGGACGATGATGATGATGATGATGATGATGATGATGATGATGATGATGATGAGATGAGGAGGAGGAGGAGGAGGAGGAGGAGGAGGAGGAGGAGAGAGGAGGAGGGAATGGAGTATGAGCAGGAGAAGCAGTGGGTAGGAGGAGGAGGAGAGGAGGAGGAGGAGGACGAGGAGGAGGAGGAGGGGAAGGAGGAGGGAGGAGGAGGAGGCGGAGGAGGAGGAGGAGGAGGAGGAGGGGAGGAGGAGAGAGGAGGTGGAGGAGCGGAGGAGGAGGAGGAGGTGGAGGAGCGGAGAGGAGGAGGAGGAGGAGGAGGAGGAGGAGGAGGGGAGGGGGAGGGGGGGAGGGGAGGGGAGGGGGGGGGAGGGGAGGGGGAGAGGAGGGGAGGGAGGGTGAGGGGGAGGGGGAGGGGGAGGGGAGGAGGAGGAGGACGAGGGGGAGGAGGAGGAGGAGGAGGAGGAGGAGGAGGAGGAGGAGGAGGAGGAGGAGGAGGAGGATGAGGAGGACGTAGAGGAGGAAGGAGGAGGAGGAGGAGGAGGAGGAGGAGGAGGAGGAGTAGGGGAGGAGGATGAGGAGGAGGAGGAGGAGGAGGAGGAGGGGTAGGAGGAAGAAGAGTTGGACTAAGATAGCGAGGAAAACAATGAGGAGGCGGACGAAACATAAGACATGTAAGGGTGCATCATTTGATCTTGAGGAAGAAGTGCGCTTTTCCTCTCCCGTTCCCCTCCTTCAATTGCCTCCTTTGGTCCTGTCCCTTCCCATCCCGGTTCCTCTCCTTCCTTCCCCAACTCTCTTCCGCCCTCCTCCCTTCCTCCCTCCCTGTTTTTGTCGTCCTTCTCCTCTTTCCCAAAGGAGGACAAGGCAGGGGCAGGGAGATGGTGAGGCACGGGCGAGGAAGAGGCGGGGCAAGACGGGGAGGATAAGGGAAAGGAGGAGGATGCGGAAGAGAAGGAGGAGGCAGAGGAGGAGGAGGGGGAGGAAGAGGAGGAGGAGGAGGAGGAGGAGGAGGAGGAGGAGGAGGATGAGGAGGAGGAGGAGGAGGAGGAGGAGGAGGAGGAGGAGGAGGAGGAGGAGCAAACAAAAGGTGGAGGAACCCCCCTTCCCCCCCTCCCCCCGCGAGGCTCCTCCAGATCCAGCGCGAGCTGGACCCCCCGGTCCCCAGTCCGGCTGTGGAACCGCCGGGGCCACGGGTAGCTGGGTGACCGCGGGAGCGTCGCGCCGCGCCCCGTACGGGGGGAGGTGGGAAAGAGCGCGTTATGTGGTCGCTTGGAGGGTGGGGGTTGGAACCTGCCCCCCCCCCCTGGATGGAGGGGGAGGGGAGGGTTCGAACCCCCCCCCCGTTCCCGTGACGGAGGGTGGGGGGGGTTCAACCCCCCCCCCCTGCTTCCCCTCTCCTCGGGCCGGGCACTTGCGCCGGCGGCGGCTAGCGACGGCGGCGGGGACGACGATTTCTATTTCTGGGCCAGCGGCCGGCCGGCGCCTGCGACGGCGGGCGGCGGTGGCGGGGGGCGTCGACGAGGAAACCGGCGGTGGCGGGCGGCGGCGGCGGTGGCGGGGAGCGTCGACGGGGAGCGGGCGGGGCGGCGGGGAGCGGGTGGTGGTGGTGGTGGTGGTTTGTGGTTGTAGCGGTAGGTGGTGGTGGTGGTGGTGGTGGTGGTTGTGGTGGTGGTGGTGTGGTGGTTTTTTGTGGTGGTGGTTGTGGCGGTAGGTGGTGGTGGTGGTGGTGGTGGTGGTGGTGGTGGTGGTGGTGGTGGTGGTGGTGGTGGTGGTGGTGGTGGGTTGTGGTGGTGGTGGTTGTGGTTTGGTGGTGGTGTGGTGGTGGTTTGTGGTGGTGATTCGTGGTGGTGGTGGGTTGTGGTTGTGGCGGTGGTTTGTGGAAGTGGTGGTGGTGGTGGTGGCATTGGTGGTGTTGTGGTTGTTGATGGTGGTGATGGTGGTGGTGGTGGGTTGTGCTGCTTTTAGTGGTGGTGGTTGTGGCGGTGGTGGTGGTGGTGTCGTGGTAGATTATGGTGGTGGTGGTAGTGATGGTGAGTTTTTGTCGTTTTGGTGGTGGTGGTTGTGGTGGTGTGGTGGTGATGTGGTGGTGGTTTGTGGTGGTTTGTGGTGGTGGCGGTGGTGGTGGGTTGTGGTGGTGGCGGTGGTTTGTGGACGTTTGTTGTGGTGGTGGTGGCGGTGGTGGTGGTGATGGTGTGGTGGCTTGTGGTGGTGGCGGTGGGTCGTGCTGCTGGTAGTGTTGGTGGCGGTGGTGGTGGTGATGGTGGTGTGGTAGATCGTGGTGGTGGTGAAAGACGTGGTGGGTTTTTGTGGTGGTGGTGGTTGTGGTGGTATGGTGGTGGTGTGGCGGTGGTTTGTGGTGGTGGTGGGTTGTGGTGGTGGCGGTGGTTTTGTTGACGTTTGTTGTGGTGGTGGTGTGGTGGTGGTGGTGGTGTGGTTGATTGTGGTGGTGGCGGTGGGTTGTGCTGCTAGAAGTGGTTGTGGCGGTGGTGGTGGTGGTGTGGTAGATTGTGGTGGTGGTGGTAATGGTGGTGGGTTTTTGTGGTGAGTTGTGGTGGTGGTGGTTGTGGTGGTGGCGGTGGTGGTGGTGGTTGTGTGGTGCTGTTGTTGGTGGTGGTGGTGATGGGTTGAGGTGGTGGTGGCGGTAGTGGTGAAGGGGTAGTGGTGGTGATCGTCGCTGCGTCCCCGCCGTCGCCGGCGCCAGCGCCGGCGCTGCTGGCCGCCGCCGCCAACGCCGCCGCCAGCTCGAGGGGGGGGGGGGTCCCCCCCCCCTGGGCTGCCTCTGGCCATCGTCGCTGCGTCCCCGCCGTGGGCGTTGCTGGCGGCCGCCAGCGCCAGCGCCGGCGCCAGCGCCGAGGGGTGGGGAGTCGGGTTCGGGGTGGGGGGGGCTTGGGGTGGAGGGGAGTCCCCCTGATTTTGATCGACGGCGCCGACTGTTGGGGTGGGGTGGGGGGCCCACTCCCCGGTTTGAAACGCGTCGCCGACTGTTCCCAAGGCAAGCGCCAGTGAAACGCGTTCTCTCGGAAGTGGGGAAGATGACCGAGGATCGAGGAGGAGGGAGGTGGAGGATCGAGGATCGAGGATCGAGAAGGGGCCATTTTGGGTCATTTTTTTGTTCGGCCCCCTGGCGCCCTGCCGGCAGGCTAAACCAGGTGCCGTCTGCGCGGCTGTCAGTCCGCGCCACCGTCGCCGAAGGGCGACTCCCTGCCCGCCGCCACGCGAGCCCTCGCCCAGCGGGCTGCCGCGGCGGGCGAGGCGGAGCCGTGGAGCTCCGCCGCCTGCCAGGCGTCCGCCACGACAGGCCGCAGCCCCCAGCGCGGCGGCCTCCCTGCACCAGCGGGAGCGCCTGCGCCTGCCTCGCCGCCTGCGCCGTCGCGGAGCACCGCCGCGAGCCGCGCCTGCTCCTCCAGCGTGGGCGGCTGCGGGGCCGAGAGCCTGGCCTTGCTCTTGGGCTCCTGGAGGCGCATCAGGAGCCGCCGCGCCTCCGCCGCCCTTTCTCCAGGGGCTGGCCGTCCCTTGCAGCTGCCCAGCAGGCCTGTCCCAGCAGGAGGGGACCGCTTCCAAAATTGGCAACCACACTTCATGCACCAGGCCACGGCACCATCTCCATTCGCGAGGCGCGAGACGACGATGCAGTGCCCACGAACCTCCCGCGCCACTCCAGCTCCTGCAATCGCGGCCCTGAGCTCGGGAGCGGCCACAGCCGCCTCAGCCAGCTCGGCAGCCGCGGCAGCGGCGGGCGCCTGGCCATGCTCCTCTCCAGCAGCAGCCCCGGCAGCAGCGCCAGGCGTCTGGCCGAGCTCGAGGTCGGCCTCGAGCGCCAGCGCCGCCACCTCCGCGTCGGCCTGCTCCGCCGCGTCCAGCGCCTCCTGCGGGATGTCGTAGACGAGGTCGGCCGTGCCCACGACCCCGTCTGAGTCCAGCTGCTCTCGGTCCACCATGGTGGCGGCCAGCTCGCCAACCCAGCGCCCGAGCTCCTCCACGCGCCAGGAACACGCCTGGAGGAACCAGACCAGCTCCTCGTCGATCGGCCACAGCGCCGCGCCTCGCTTGGCCCACAGGTCAGCTGCCCTGTTGCCCCTGATCAGGAGCTCCTCCTCCCGGGTGGCAGCTGCCGGGAGCTCCTTGTGCGCCTTGACCTTCCGCGCCGTGGCCGTCGGGCCTGGCCCAGCCCACCGCTCCTGCCAGAGGTGGCGGCGCGCCTGCAGTGGCGCGAGGGCCTTGCCCTGCGGGAGCGCCGAGCCGGCCGTGCCCGCGCGGTCGCAGAAGACCTCGAGGCCCGAGCCATCGGCCGACGGCGCCCAGAACTGGGCCAGCATGTGGAACGCGTAGTCCTCGCCGTCCCTGGCCTCCTGCTTGGGCCCGTACGCCCGCGGGACGATGCCGTGCATCCCGCCAATGACCTCCCCGCTGAGGCCGATCTGCACGACCGCCCAACCTGCGCGGCGGGCCCCGCGCAGCGCAGGAAACCTGGCGCTGCCGTCCACGAAGACCCTGCCCTCGAACTTCGAACCAGGCGGCACTCCAAACCAGCGCGGGGCCGCGAGCGCGGCGTCGGCCGTCGCGGGGAAGACCAAGGCGGGGTCGGGGCACAGCGCACGCGCGAAGAGCTCCGCCGCAGCGCCCCCGCGCTGCGCCACCAGCCGCGCCCCCTCCAGCAGCCCCCGCGAGCACGCATCCCGCCGCAGCATCTGCCAGGCCTCGCACTCGAAGGCCCTGTGCCGCAGCGTGCCGCGGCCTCCGCAGAGGCGGCACAGGCCGTCGCGCGCCTTGTCCTCCTTCCAGAGGCGCTCCTGCGGCCAGTGGGAGCCGCCGAGGACCGCTGCGAGCGCTCGCCTGTGGCGGGCCTGCCAGTGCGGCAGCGGCGGCGCGGGCTCCTGGCAGCCTGCGCCCTCGGCGGCCTCGCGTCGGCCTGCCCCTCGGGGCGGCGGCGCGCGTGGAGGAGGCGCTCCAGCCCCTTCCAGTGCACTGGCCATGCCCAGGCTCCGGGCCCGCGCAGCCGCTTCAGCGCGAGCGCGTCCGAGGCCAGCATCGCCGACTCCCGCGCCACCTGCACCGGCATGCCAGGCGAGTAGAACTCCAGCGAGAGGACACGCGCCTGCTAGTCTATGACGGTATTGAAGGCCACCATCTCGATGCCGACCCGCCTCAGCGCCAGCACGCATGCCTGCGCAGGGTCGCGGCGCTGCCCCCAGGGGCGGCGAAGGTCGAGCAGGCCTTGCGCCCCGAGCCAGCACTCCTGCACCACCGCGGCGCTGGGCAGGCCCGTCTCTAGCGTCATGCCCCAGGAGCACGCCACCTCCACCGCGTGCACCACGAAGGGGTCGCGGTAGGCCGCGCCGCGCATCGCCCGCAGCCACGGGCCGACGCTGGCGCCCGTGGGCAGCCTGCCTTCCGCACGCATGGCGGCGATCCGCAGGCCATGCAGCTTCCCACAGGCGAGGCCCGTCACCGCGGAGCCCCAGATGGCAGTGGCCGTGGGGCTGCCTCTCTGGATGTGGCCCACCTGCGCACCTGCACTGCGCAGCAGGCGCGTCCTCGCACTGACCTCCGCCGCGCGCCAAGCCGAGCGTCCTGCTCGCGTACGCGCCTCCAGCGCCCATCAGCGGCATCGCCGCCGAGGCATCGGGCGCCAGTCCAGCGGGCCAGCGGCCCATGCGCCCAGCAGCCGTCCAGCTCGTCGCCGGGGTCCTCGCTGTTCGCCAGGTAGCCCGTCTTCGCCTGCGAGATGACCAGCCCCTTGGCGACCAGGCCCTCCGTGAGGGCCGCCATGGCCCTGGGGAGCTGCTGCGCCACCTGCGCCCTGCCTCCGACCGCCTGCAGCAGCACGTCGTCGACGACATTCTGCAGGCGCGCCACAGGGTTCTCCCGCGCGATCTTCGCGAAGAGGGTGTGCACCAGCAGCTTGGCCAGCCCGACCGCACCGCTGCAGCCCGCCACGATGGTGCCGTTCGCCTCGAACGGCTTGGAGACCGAGCCGCACCGGGACACGCGGCGCTGCGTGCGGTACGACACGCAGTAGCACTGCAGCAGCGCGAGCGGGAACTCCGTGGCGGCCGCCTGCACGCGCAGCTCCTCGTGGCTGACGTGCTCGTAGAACTTCGCCAGGTCGGTGACGCCCGTGGCCACCGAGAGGCCTCTGCTGCGCGCGAAGGCCGCCAGGAGGTTGTGCACCGCCCCCGCGCGCCCGCACGGGCTCTCCGACGTGCCCCAGAAGGCAGGGTTCTTCAGCGAGGCCTCCCAGCGGGCCACCAGCGGCTGCCGCAACCTGCTCCAGACCCTCAGCCAGATGGCCGTGAGGCCGATCGGCCGCTGGCCGCCAGTAGCCTTGGGGATGAACACCACGATCAGCTGCCACAGCGCCTCCCGCGAAGGCTTCCACTCCCAGGCCATGAGGAGCTCCAGGAAGCGCTGCCTGTAGGTCCGCGGGGGGCGCAGCAGCTGCTTCGGGTGGAGCCTATCCCACCCAAGGCAACGCCCCTCGCGGTAGGTGCCCAGGACGCGCTCGAGGTCCTCGAGCTCCAGCGGCGGCAACACCGACTCCTGGATGTCCCAGTTCTCAGGCGCTGCCTCGCCCGCCCGCGACGGCTTGAGCCAGAGCGGCTGCCACGCCTCCAGCAGCGCCGCCACTGCAGCCTCGCCCGCGACGGGCATGCGCAGGTCGTCGCTGCCGCCCACGCCCGCGAGCACCTCCGTGGGCACCACCGCGACCTGCTTGATGAAGCGGTAGGCCGCCGAGCCGCCCTTCTCAGTGGCCGCGGCCTGGGCCCAGGCGCGCCACTCCGCGGCCTTCCACTGCTTGTCTAGCCTCCAGCGCCGCCTCGCCTCCTCCTGGACGAACTGCACCGTCGGCTGGCACGAGGAGGAGCTGAGCAAGCTCATCACGCGGGCCACCGACAGCCCTGCCAGCGGGCCATCCTCTGGCCCTTCGAGCTCGAACGCCATCAGCACCTCCTGCTGCTTGCGCAGCGGCGCCCAACAGCGCCCTCCAGGCGCCGCCTCCTGCAGCGCGCGCCAGCGGGCGCATGCCGCCGCGAACGACATCCAGCGCCTGCAGGCAGCGCCGACGCTCCTCTTGCAGTCCTGCTTCCAGGCTGCCTCCATCACGACCCTCTGCGTGCGAAGCCCGCCCGCGCGCCCCTTCCAGCGGCTGGGCGGCGCGATCTCGTAGAGGTCGATCAGGTAGGTCTCGACCGCCTCGAACCACTCCTGGCAGCCCTCCTCGAGCGACTGCCATCCCTCAGGCCTCCAGGCCGAGAAGGCACGCTCGAGCGGCGCTGGCCGCACTGGCGGCGGCAGCGGCAGCGGGAAGGCGGCAGGGAAGAGCGGCCGCTGCACCTTCGCCTCTGGCCCTACGCCGCGGATCACCACCTTGAACGGCACGTGGTCCTTCGTCGGCGCCCTCAGCAGCACCTCGGTCACGTCCACAAAGCCCGTGAGGACCCTGCTGACCACCGCGAAGTCGAAGACCTTCGGGCCGCAGGTCGGCTCCTCTGGGCCCACGAGCGCACCGCCTGCGCTGCGCGCCCACTCACGGACGTCCACGGGCTCCATGTTCAAGTCGTCCATCACGACCCACGGCGGCTCCAGCTGCCCCACGAATTCGTGCAGCGTTGCCAGGAGCCCGATGTTCTCCTTCGCCCTGCCTATCTTCGTGATGAAGTAGGCCGAGATGACGCGGCACGGCTCCCTGAACCCCAGGTCCACCTCGCACGCTTGGAACCAATGGGCAGGGAGCCCTGGCGCGGCGGCGGCCGCCGACGGCCGCAGCGTGGCCGCGGCCACTCCGCCCGAGCTCTCCAGCGGCCCTGAGCCCGTCGGCAGCGCTGCCTGGCCATGCCAGCTGAAGCCGCGCGCCTGCATCCAGCCCGCCGCGCGGGCCATCGCCTGCTTGCCTTTGAGGCGATGCTCTTGGGGGCAGAGCACCGCAGGCAGCCGCCCCACGTCGTCGTGCAGCCGCTCGACCAGCGCCTGCGCCGAGCCCCGCGCGGTGGTGTTGGCCGATGCCAGCTCCACCACGTCCGCCGCCCGCGGGCGGCCACCCAGAAGCGGGGCCTGCCACCCGCTGGCGCTTGGCCAGCGCTGCGCGCCAGGCTGCGCGCTGCTGCTCGCCCTCCATGCCCACCTCGTCGAACACGGCGTCGAGCCCGACGAGCTCGGGGCCGAGGTCGAGGTCGCCGACGCGCTTGCGGTCCCCAGGAGAACCATCGGCGCCGTCATCACTGCCATCAGCCGCGGGGGCGGCCCCCTGCGCCGCGGCGGCTCGCTCGGCCGCGGCTGCAGCAGCGCGGGCCCGCTCGGCCGCCGCTGCCTCGCGAGCGCGGGCGTCGGCGGCGGCGAGCTTCCCCACGATGCTGCGGGCCTCGGCGGCAATCGCGAGCAGGGCGCCGCCCTCCTCCCCAAGCAAGAGGACCCGCTCCCGCTCCGCCTCGAGGCCCTCGAGGCCCTTGAGCAGCACCTTGCCCAGGCAGTCCTCGGCCTCCACAGGCTCACCCACCTCCATGGGCGACGGCCCCTTGTGCTGCTCCAGGTCGGCGCGCTTCCTCGCGCGCACAGCCTCGGCCACCTCCTCCAGCTGGTCGCGCCGCTTCTGGGGGGCGTCCGCCTGCTCCGCCACGCGGACCGCGACGGCCGCCTGCTCCTCCTAGACTGCCACCAGCGCTGCCTCGGCACGGCTGACCTGGCCCTTGGTCTTCGCCTCCCTGGCCAGGAGGGCCTGGAGCGACAGCTCGGCCAAGGGCTTCGCTGGCGGCGGCGCGTCCACCACAGGCACCAGGGCCCCAAAGTCCTGGACCAGGGCCGCCGACCAGCCTTCCCTGAGGCCAAAGTGGCGGAGGAGGGCCTGGCAAACCTCCTCGACCTTGCCGCCGCTGCCGCTGGGCCGCTCCTCCGCCTCCCGCTTGGCCGCGCCCTGCGCCCACGGCGCCGGCGTGGCCGCGGCGGCGGCAGGCCCAGGCACGTCCGAGGCGAAGCGCACGCGCTTCGCCGCGACCTTCTCCTTCCCCTTGGCCTTGGCCATCATGGCCTTGTTGATGGCCTCGCCGATCGTGCCAGCGCCGCGTGGCGGCCTCGCCGCCTTGCAGAGCCTGCACTCCGTGCGCCATGCCATGTTGGCGTAGCCAGCAGCACACGAACGGCACGACCAGGGGTCGCCACCCTGGCTGGTACCGCGCGTGCCACCTGCAACTCCATTCGCCATCGGCCCGCGGGGGCACGCCGCTCGGAAGATTGCACCCGCAAGAGCGAGCACCTGGCTCGCCCCAGAACGGCTAAGGATCGAGAAGGGGAGGAGGAGGAGGAGGAGGAGGAGGAGGAGGAGGAGGAGGAGGAGGAGGAGGAGGAGGAGGAGGAGGAGGAGGAAGAGGAAGAGGAGGAGGAAGAAGAGGAAGAAAGGGAGGAGGAAGAGGAGGAGGAGGAGGAAGAGGAGGAGGAAGAGGAGGAGGGGGAGCCCAAGACGGAACACACAGTGGCGAGCTTCAGAACGGGGAGCAAAAACGCCCCAGCAGCTTTTACATCACGTGAGGGCCCGCCCCGCGTGAGCGCGTCACCATTGGACCCCCCCCTCCTCCTGGGCAGGCGGAGGACTGACGGGAGCGGCGCGCGCGCGACCTCGCCCTGCCAGCTCCCGCGCCCCCGCGCCCCGCGCGGAGCACGCCCGGGAGCCCGCTTCCTCCACCACGCCGTCGTCTTGTCGTCATCGTTGTCGTCGTCAGCGTCGGCGGCGGCGGCACCTTCGTCGTCGTCGTCGTCGTCGTCGTGGTGGTCGTCGTCGTCGTCGTCGGCGTCGTCGTCGACGTCGGCGTCGTCGTCGTCGTTGGCGTCGTCGTCGTCGTCGTTGTCGTCATCGTCGACGTCCTCGGCGTCGTCGCCGCCGCTGCCGTCGCCGCTGCCGTCGCCCTCGCCGCTGCCGTCGCCGCTGCCGTCGCCGTCGCCGTCGCCGTCGCCGTCGGCGTCGTCGGTCTTGGCGTCGTCGGCCTTGGCGTCGCCGCCTGCGCCCTCGTCGTGGTCGCTGCCACCGTCGTCGCCGGCCCGCGCCACGGCCGTCTCCCCCTCCTCCCGCTGGCGCGTACGCCCCTGAGCTATACAGGGGGAGGCACGCGCCCAGAGGCGAAGGCGGAGGGAGCGGGCCTGCTCAGAGCAGGAGGGGAAAAAACACACAGACACAATTAATCGTCGATTCCCAGGAAAGTATGGGACACTATGGGCAGTGGGGGGAAAGATGAAAACCCAGAAAATATGAGAAAATATGGGGAATCCTGTTATTTGTGTGTCTTTATTTGTGTGTCCCAGGGCCCCTTCATCAGAATGCTCGGAGGGCCTCCGGCCTTGTCGAGACGACGCGGGCGGCCTCTGAGGAGGCGCGGGGGCTTCTCGGAGGCCTCGCTCCCCCTCGCTCCCCCCCCTCGTCGCGCCGCCAGGTCACGTGATTGGGCTAGCACCTCCAGCCTGGCCCTTCTCCTCCTCGTCCGCCGCAGCCTTCTCCCGCGCCCTGCCTCCTGGCCTGGTGCTCCTCTTCCTCCGACGTGGTTTCTGAACTTGGCACCTGCTGCGGCGGCGGTCTGCGATGACAAGTGCGGATGCGGGTGGAAGGCCAGGGGGCTTCCACTGCAGCCTCTGGTTCCAGGCGGGTGCTTGCTAGCGTGGGCCCCAGATAGTAAGTTAGTGCACTCTGCGTGTGGAGCTCATGTGGTGCAATGTAGTTGGTGAATCCGTTGGTATAGTAAGTAAGCCAAGACAACAGCCAGGACTGCACTGACTCCTACCCCTTCGTGCTAGTTAGCACGGTCACACGTGACACCCATCTCGACCCATGAGTGACCATGCTGGCGCCCCGGCGCCCACCCGCCGCACCCGCGTCGGTGTTCCATGCGGGACTGTGTGCAGTCAATGTGGTGCAGATGCCATCCACGCGGCGCAGTCCATGTGTTGCAATATCCAGTTTCCTGCGGCAAGTCCGGCCACCGTGCCAGCCAAGCATTCTGGGTGGCGACTGTTCGAGGGGCTACGAGAGGCCGTCACGTGTGACACCTCGTGCTTCCAGGCTTTGGAGAGACGTGATGATGATGATGACGATGACGATGACGATGACGATGATGGTGATGATGATGATGATGACGATGATGATGACGATGATGATGATGATGATGATGATGCTGGTGATGATGCTGATGGTGATGGTGACGGTGGTGGTGATGATTGTGTTGATGATGGTACTGCTGATGGCGATGATGTTGATGCTGATGATGCTGATGGTACTGATGATGCTAAGATGGTGGTGGCGGGGGTGCAGATGAGCATGAGCATGAACATTACTATGTTCACTACGATGACGGTCATGCCTACGACGACGATGACGATTATGATGATGATGATGATGATGATGATGATGATGATGATGATGATGATGATGATGATGATGATGATGATGATGATGATGATGTTGATGATGATGATGATGACGATGATGATGATGATGAGGATGATGATGCTGATGATGATGATGATGATGATGATGATGCTGATGTTGATGCTGATGCTGATGCTGATGATGATGCTGATGCTGATGCTGATGCTGCTGGTGATGATGCTGGTGATGTGGTGGTGGTAGTTGTAGTGGTGATAACGACGACGCTGATACTGATTATGGTGATGGTGGTGGTGGAGGTTGTGGTGGTGGTGGTCATGATGGTGCTGATAATGATGCTGATGATGATGATGAGGATTCTGATGATGGTGATGATCATGCTTATCATGCTCTGATGTGGAGTAGAAGGGTGTTGAGGAGGTAGAATAGGTGGAAAACGGGGAGGAGGGAGAAGGAGGATCAGGAAGGTAGGAGGGAGGAGGGCGAGAGGGGCGGGAAGAAGGATATGGTAGGAGGGGGAAGGGGTAGGGTGAGGAGGAGGAGGACCCATTTCACACCCAAGGCTCATCAACGATGCTGCAGTAAGCCATCCCTCCAAGGTCCGTTTTTTCATAGGTCCCTACAAGAAGGCCATTGAAAGGCAGCCATCCGCAGAATTCAGGCATGGAAGCATTTCACTCCCCCAAGCTCTAATAAAGGGGTGATGCCTCGCCAGGACTTCGTACACAATGAACTATTAGTTGTGCAGCAGGAGTTTGATAGATTCGGACACCCATCCATTTCAGAAGTTATTTGAGAATTTCACATCGTGCCAAGTCACCATTTCTGGGACTTGCACGCCGCAAAGCAAAGCGAATGTTTTGTCCTAGCAGTCGTCAGTCGTGCCAGAACGCCGCCCCCGAGGTTTTCACACCGCGAATCTGAGTGACTGCTGCCTCCTGGTATCCCACGTCGCGCCAGAACATTGCTCTTGGATATTTAACTCCACGAACATTTTAAACTGCTGCCAGCTTTCAAAACGAATATGCGCGGCGCGAAGGCGAGAGCCACATTTCAAACAAGGAACCGGCCTCCACCATTGAAGTTGCTGCAAGCTCCAACGCATGTACGTGGGGCTAAGGCGAGGGCTGTATACTCACAACGAGTTGCCCTCCATGTTTGAACCAGATGCAGTTCTTAGGACAAGGTGCACGCGGCGCTGAACACGAGAGTTCCATTTCGAAAACGGGCCGCTCTTCGTTTTTACAGCAATCGCCACGATCCAGCTTCAGGATCAGACCTGGCTAGGAAGTCTCAGGCGAACTGTCTGACCCGGCCGACGGAATTGTTTATTAGGAAAAGGGATGGAGGAGGAGGAGGTGGAGGAGATGGAGGAGGAGGAGGAGGAAAAGGAGGAGGAGGAGGAGGAGGGGAAGAGGAGGAAGGGGGAGGATGGAAGAGGGATGAGGAATAGGCGGAGGAGGAGAAGAAGGGGGGGTGAAGGGGGGAGGGAAGAGGGGGAAGGGGCAAGATAGGTGCGCTCGCGCCATATCTGACGTCCGACCCCTCCCTCCCATCCCTTGCCATGGCGTAGATCTCCTCTCTATTCACACAGTCGGATGTCGAGCAGGGCAATGATTCCGAGATGCGCGATGCATCGTGGAGCACGGCAAAGCAGGGCGTAGAAGAGCACGGCAGAGCGTAGTATGTCATAGCATGGCGTGGCGTTGCGTAGTGAAGACTTGCATCACAAAGCATGGCAACACAAATAATGACATCACACAGCGGCACATAACAGAACATGGCATAGCATGGCGTTGAGGATCAACGCGTCACATGGCATAGCATGGCGTGGCATTGCGTAGTCAAGCATTGCATATTCTAGCATTGCAGCCGAAGGCATGCCATCGCACAGCGGAACACCATATAGCATTGCATTGCATGCCGTGGCATGGCACTGGAACTAATGACGCCAGCGCTGCAGCGGGAGCACGATTCGGAACGAGCGGAAACGCGGAAATGACGCCAGTGATGCAGCTGGAGCACGATTCGGAACGAGAGGAAGCGCGGAAATGAGGCCAGCGCTGCAGCGGGAGCACGATTGGGAACGAGCGGAAGGCCGCACATGAGGCCAGCGCTGCAGCGGGAGCAACATTTGGGAAATAAGCCCAAGCGAAAACCCAGTTCATGGGAATCCTGTGTGTAACAAAAAAGTGCGCGGAGGTGGGCCGTCATCAGGGGAAATGAGAGTAGTAATTGTGCAATTGCGAAGGAGGAATAGGAGGAGGACCAGTATAAAGCCAACAGGCGTCATCAAGTCCTCCCTTCATATGTCCCCATCAGAATTTGCTGCCATTGCGCGAAGTGCTCAATTGGGAGACAACAGTATGGGAATCCTCAGTTGCACCAAAATGCAATTCCTGGGATCTCAGCACCGCGAATCGACGTGATTGGTACGTTCTGATTATCCGGAAGCGTGCCAGGACGCGGTTTCTGGGACTTCACACAGCGAGTCAACGTGATTGTTGCGTCTTGGCAGTTCTAGACCGTACCAAAACACCGTTCCTGGGACGTGCACCATTCGAATCCTTGAAACTGACACCAACTGTTAAGATGAATTTGCGCAGCGCTGAGGCGAGAGCCACATGTTGAATCGGAACCGCCCTTCATGAAGCTGTTGCACACATTTACGAACATGTACGCAACGCCTGCAAGCGAGAGCAACATTTCGAAGCGGAACCGCCCTCCAATTGTAAAACTGTTGCGATTTTATAAAGCGAAGTGCGCGGAGCGAAGGCGAGAGCCATATTTTGAAAACGGTCGACCCGCCATCTGTGAATTTGCTGCGAACGTCTAAGGCGAATCTGCGTGTTCTTAAGGGGAGAGCCACAGTTTGAGAACGGATCGCCCTCTATCCGTGAAGTTGTTACAAAGTTCAAGTTTCTGGATCCTAAACGCCAGGCCCGCCTTACACACACGTCTAGGGGTTCGGCCGGGAGGAGCTATCTAGAACAGGGATGCAGCAGGAAGAGCAGTAGGGAGAGGAGAAGAGGGAGTAGGAGAAATGAGAGGGAGGAGCAGGAGTAGTATGATGGTGATGATGATATTGATGATGATGCTGATGATGATGATGATGCTGATGCTGCTGATGATGATGATGCTGCTGATGATTATGATGATTATTATGATGATGATGCTGATGATGATGATGATGATGATGGTGGTGGTGGTGGTGGTGGTGGTGGTGGTGATGCTGATGCTGATGCTGATGCTGATGATGATGATGGTGATGATGATGATGATGATGATGATGATGATGATGATGATGATGATG